TCGACTCATTTCTGGGTAATCCTTATCATCTCGAACTGAGACAAGAACTTTATCCAATGTTGGAAATTCTTGTCTAAAGAAGAATTCATGCACTTTCCGTCGAAGTCCTTCTTTAAAATGATATTCTATTTGAAATTTTGGTTTCCCTGGAGCATTACGTGGCATTTGAAAACTACCACATTTCTCTTCTTTAATAACTCTGTAAATCGTAGATTGCCCAACACCAAGTGTACTGCTAACTAACTCAACGGTCTCATCAACACTTTCACATAAACGTTTGTCTGTAAATGATTTAAAACAATTAAATATTAATGTTTTTTCATTAACTGTTAAAGGACCAATTTTTCGGCGTTTACACGGCACTTCCAAATTTTCCATAACACTAGTATACACAATAAACTGCACCTTGCAACTGAAGTACCTACTTTTAGTGAACTGTTAAGAATTTTGAATACGCTACTTGGACCTTCCTACAAAATCGAAAAACCCAATATCACATTTTCTGTGGAATAAGTTTAGAAGGTAATTATTTAGTCAATTACTGTCGTAGATTCCTGGAATTAAACAATTAAATGTTTGATTGTTGAAACCCTTACTTCGTGGAATGCACTCATTTCAGATAAAATAAAACGTTTTATTTTATCTAAAGAAATAAACTTTATTTTGCAAATAGGTAGGTACTTATTAAACTTTTATTGGTTATATATAACCAATAAAATAAACATCTTACATTTCTTGCAAATTCATTAGTACCTGTTAACCTCCATCACTCCGACACTGGCAACCTTATTTAGGGATTAGTAACCCTCACAACTATTGTATTCTATTCTGCTCCAACCTTTATACCTGGTGGTCATACTCAATTTAAAATTGTTTTCCTATATACTTCTGTAAACTTGTTGACAAATATCTGTTTTTCATTGAGTCACCCGTATCAACAGTTTAGGGATTTGCATACATAATTTATTGTTTTATTACTCTCTCATACATAAAAATACACTATAGAGTGTAATACTAATACTACATCCAAAACGCATGCATTTTATCGTGGTATTATGTTATATAGGAAAACTCAAATTGTGCACTTTTTTTTCGTTTCTGTATTTTAATTATCCTCTTCCGAAAAGTTTTTTCAAAAACGATAACAAGTCATGTATTGTATATACATCAATCATGCAGACCGACCGTTACGTGCTTTGAACCAAGATCAAATCTTGGTTCAAATGGTTTCTGCATTGCAATATGATTTTATATCACCAATCAGTTTGAAGCCTCAAATAGATTAATCTACGAAGGTCCGAAGCACTGTTTAGTTGACTTTACATTTTTCATATTGTTAATATGGAACCAGAACAAGAAAAAAAAAGAGAAAACGCTATTTCACTTTTAATAAAACATTGCAATTCCCATTTTTGAAAAAAATAGTAACATTGACGTAAAATGTGATACTTGTGGATCCCAATTTTCGATCGCCCATGGTGGTAGAGCGGATGTATTGAGTCACATCAAAAGTAAAAAATAACCAAAGAGGTAATAGCTCCACGACAAGCAGCATAAAATTGACTGAACTTTTGGTGGTAAAAGCCGAGGTGGGCAAAACAATGTTTACTACAAACTAAAATCACAGGTGAATCCAAATTTGATGGAAATTGGTCGTGCGGCTCACATTATTCACAACACTTTGCAATGTGGCTGCAATATGTTACCATTTGACGTGGAATTCATATTGGTGAAAATGAATTTTTTTTGGAAACTTTAAACAGTCCAAAATTACTGAAGGATTTTTTAAGGACCCTTGTTCGTTGTTTGGTTGTTGTTCATTCTTGATCAGGTAAAAGCAGCTTTATATTTAGGCAATACAAGTCCCATGCTATGCAAGTCTGTCTTGCATGGCATTTCTCTTGCCTAGCCTGTTTGATTTTCTAATTTTTCCTTTTTTGAGAATGATTTCCGGATTCGAAGTCGAAACGTCAAAAACTAACAAAAATTTAATGATTATAACCAAATATGGCTTAATCTCATCAAAAATATCATTGTCAACATAAAAATTTTAAATAATCAATAAAATTATGGTATTACAGTCCTTATTAAAAAAAAAATGGCCCGATTTTCACTGAAAACTTCCGGATTTCAGGTATTTTTTTAGCCTTGTCCCAAATTCGATTGAATTGGAGTTGGTCACACTAAGTTATACTACTAGTTAAGGTTAGTTTACACATTAATGCAAATAAAAATATTTTTATTACAATACAAAAAATCGTACATTATACGGTTAAGATATATTTGGAAATAATTAGATTGTTTTCTAAAAAAATAAATATTGGATATGAATTATGTAAATAATTTTCTAAATCTCCAAACAACATATTTTAAGTCCTGACTCATTTAAAATAAGATAAAGCATGAAGTTTATTGTTATAAAAGAGTATTAGCAAACATCATCGCTAATTATTGTAATAACAATATTAGAATATGTGTTCAGAACCATGTGAACAGTGATTTCCAAATACTCATCAAATAGATATTTATTTGCTCAATTTTTCATGACCGGAATTTAAAACGAGATGGTAGTTTTATGGTTATTGTCACATAAATCACTGAAAATTCGAGTATTTAAAATTACTTCTAAAAGTACTTTTACACGTTTTGGATCAAATATCCTTTGTTTTATGCTAATTTTAATACATCAATCACCTCCTAATAATAAATGAAAACTTATTGCAACTAGCGCGGTAATAAAGAGAACCATAAAGTTAAAATACAAAATATTAAAATATTAATATTGGTTCGTTTGAGTTTCTTTGAACAGTCGTTGGTTGAATAAACATTATTTGTTGATCTGATTAATGTTGCTAATATCTTCCACAATACTTAAAAGTAATTGAATGGGAGTGGTCGATTTGTGAAAACAACAAATTTTATTTATTCATGACTAAACTATTTTAAAAAATAAAAAGTTTCTAAAATAAAAAGTTTAAACGATTTTTTTTTAATTTGCCTTAAAAGTGCACACATAATAAGTATAAAATAGGCTGAACTCGGTGAACTACCATTAGATTTAAGAAGACAGGAATTAATGCTCTCGTATGCATCGAAGCGGTACTCATTACAATATCACCAAACCATTCGCTGCTCGAATATCCAGCACGCCAAAACCCACATTCCCTTTTACGAAAGATGCAGACGAATCATAAACGAATTAAACCTTATAGTCCACGAAATCTATCCTAGCAGGATGATAACTTCCCCCCCTTGGCTAATATCTTCTCCTCACATAAATTTGGATCTATTATCAGAATCAGATCAGTCGGACGCACCTCGGACATTTTACCCAGGGTGATCGCCTCGGTCTAAACTGCTTTTATTAGGCAAATGCCAATTTACGCAGATATTGCTGCAATGGAGTTGATCATTGGTATCACGCATCCAGATATATATGTCAAAGATGGCCCTAGCGACAATGATGCGACTAAGCTCAGCTGGTGCAAACCTTAATATAGGAATGAGACAATTGAGAACTCGTTTCTGGGGGGGAGAGCTGGATGCGCTATCACTGCTACAGGCAGGCTGCGACTCAATTGAACCAAAGTTTGTCTTTAACAAACCCTACAAAGTCAAAACAAGACAGTATAGGGAGACAAACGTGATAAATGCCTATTGCATATACATTGATGGCTCCAAAACGAAAGAAGGCTCAGGATGCGGGATATACTCCAGATCACTGAACCTAAGAATAAAGTGGGGTACGGGCAAAAATGCCATCGTAGTTCAGACAGAACTGGCTGGCATCTCCATAACCGCAAAAGAGATAACCCAAAAAGGTATAGCAGGGATAACTGGAATGATTTGCACAGATAGCAGACAAGCGCTACTGACCTTGAATAGACCACGTGTCACATCAGGGTTAGTAATGGAGTGTCATGAGTCACTAACTCAAGCTTCGGATGGTAATACCATCATCCTGAAGTGAGTTAACGGATACAATAGGAATAAGGGCAACCGCATTGCTGACCAATTGGCTAGGTAGGTGGCGGGCCTAAGATTCTATGGACTTAGAGCTAAGATTAATATTATTACTAAAATTAACATTAAACTCACCAGTCTTCCGGGTTGAACCGCGTGATGATGCCTGATGCCTTCCGAGGTCTCAGTCTCCCGAGCCCCCAGACACTACTGCACTGTTCACTATTCACGGCACGATCACTACTACTGGCCGCAGTAGTAGTGATCGTGTATCTTAACAAAATTAATCATAAGGCTGCAACGAAAACAATGTTACCTAGGGTTAATTTTTGATAACACAGACTTTTACAAACCATATATATTTTTTTTTTAATAACGAATAAAATGCTGTTTGCAAAATTTTTACATCATAAAGGCTGAAAAAGTTATAGAGGGAAAACTTAAAAATTTTGTAATTAATAAAATGTTTGCTACGCTTATTAGTTTTATTATTAGTCTGTTATCCTTAGTGGCATATATTTAATATATGGACTCATAGGTTACACTCATCTATATAAAAAACCACTTCAGTAAACATTTCAGGACGATCCGCTGAATGCTGAAAAAGTTATGTAGGGAAATGTAATTTTCTCTTTCAAATACACCCTATAAATTCCGCATTTTTTCATCGACATTAACAATTCTTCGTCTTACAAACTTGATTAATTTTTAAAAAATAGTCTGAGGACATTTTAATGTACTAAAAAATAGTATATTTATTGAAAACAATTTCAAAAAATCATTTAGAAGTCGCTGAAGGATAATAAGTCCATTATGCATAACTCTAAAGACATATATGTACGTAGATTAAGTTACTGAATAAACAATGTTTGGTGTTAGAAATATTTAATTTTTTTGCTATTTATTGATGTTTTTCATAACAATAATTGTGTATTTATCAATCAGTTAAAATACTTTGCTAGGATTATTTTGCCCAACATATTAAACCTATTTCTGAATTTATTATAATATGATAAAGCTATTTTTTTTTATTTCAGAACCATTTGCAATCGTACACAACACCACAAGATGCAGTGGGAAATTCTACCTTATGTCAGAAACCAGATACATTTTTAATTTGTTAAAAAACGGCGAATTTCAATACTGGAAGAATATCACCAACTCTTTTGTGATCGAAAATCCGATAGATCTAAGTGGATACTGCATTGAATATTCCAACAGTCCTGCTTTTAAAGGATTTTTCTTTTTTAACTGTATACCATCAGCAGCCAATAAGCAAAAATTCAACTACACAAAATGGCCAAAAATATTATCATGTGTTTTCCTTGGATTGACTATTTTGATTTATATTTTGCTAAATCAAACTAAAAAGCTGTTCGGAAAGATTTTGATTAATTACTGTATCTCCACGTTGTGTATGTACGCGTTACTGACTTATGCCCAAAGTGATCTTCAACCCAATGATCTTCCATGCCAACTTGTAGGTAAGTAGTAATTGTTTGTCTTTTTTTATCATACGGTTTTTTATGAAGTTTGCAATTTCTAGACATCCAATATAATAAACTTACAATAGATTGGAGAGGTTGTAATGAGACTAATAGAGCAGACAAAAAACGGTTAGAGTGTTGTAAATTGTTATGATCTTGGGTGACAAAGTGATCATCTGACAATAATGGGCTATTATCAAATCCAAAAACTTACACTCCAGAATATACTTTTTAATTCCTCACCATATCGTCTACATATACATTATCTACATGGGATTTATATATTTTAATTACTCAATTTTGACGCTCATATTATGTCGATATAATATGAAAATTTTCTAATTATTCGGTCGAATGCCCTTTCAAAATCTCTAAAGGCTATATACGTTTCCCAGTTATACTTCAGCTTTAATCATTTATTTAATTGAAGGGGTCAGTGCAAAAACTGGTTAAATCACATTTGTATATTTCTGAGTTATAGGTGTTTGAAAATTTTAAATGGTTCCCACATCTAGATTTTTAAAAACTTTTTAAAAATACGTGTGATTTTTTTTATAAACAAAGTACACCTTTAAGGACGATAAATATACGAAGAAGGTTGCATTTCGATTTATATGGGTAAATTGTTGGTGCATAGTGGAATATAATTATTCCCAGCACCGCTCTGAATGGCTTGATTAAGCTTGGGTATACAGTTTACTTTAATTGCTATCGACGTATTTAACTTCATCTTTCCTCACTAGAGGTCTCTAGTAGCATTCTCTGGTAGTTATTTTTCTGTAATTGCCAGAGTAGTCGGTGCGTTTTGCTTTGGTTTGAGTCTTCTTACAAACTCCTTCTGATGACGGGTAGATCCAGAAACACGTGTCAGGGAGTGGTGAGAGACTGAAATTAAATCGAAATGCAACCTTCTTCGTATAATATAATATTCATCTTCCGCGTTAGTTACAGGCAAAGGCAGGTTCTTTTCATAATCAAAACATATAATCATTTCAGAAGACTCAGTTGATTTTTGAACTTCAGCTAGTTTTGTTTTAAATATATCTCCTTTTCTAAGATGAATTTCCTTATCTTTTAAGTATATTTAAGGTTTTCTTATTAGATTTCAGTTTAGCTTGCCTAATAATAACTAGGAATTTTGTACAGGTGTTGCATATATCCTTTCTTGCTGGCATATTCAGAATGCTGGTAATTCAGCAATAAATTTTCTGATCTTTTCAAGAGATTCTGGTATTGTTCTGTTAGGCCTAGTGCCATGACGGCCTCTATTTTCTGCTGGATAAGCTGCAGTTTTAACCTTTTTGTCTAACCTAGATTTAAAAATCCCGTGTATAGCTTTTCCATTTTCGGAATTATTAACCTCGTATGAGAACACTGTACGACTTCCTGATTGCTCTTTATTACGTACATGTGATAGGCTTTTTATAACTTTCTTAATACAACCTTGTAAATAAATTGTTTATTCTGAATGGGTAGATAAACTACAGCACTTTTCAAAAATATTTGCTTGCTGTAAATCACTTAGGTTAGTTACACACTTACACCTACAAACGCCAATTTCACGACGTTTATTTTTTTCTGTAAAACGATTTTCCTTTTTTAAAGTTCTTTTTCGTTTTTCTGGGTTTTTAAGCCGTTTTTTTCCTTTTGAAACAGAATGCAAATTCTCGCAATCCCCTCCAACAGGAACAAAGTTATAGGTTACATTTTCTGGTTCTACAACATCTCTTTCATTCTTGCTGCTACGTGAATCACTAACCATCGCAGGTATACAATTCGCAAAGTGCCTTCGTGAGGATTATACTCACATCCTGAGGTTACATCTTCACTGTAACTACTTGATTCTAAAATAAAAAATGTACTTTACTAAACAAATAATCAAAAATCATTATTTTTACTAAACTATGCTTATTGTTTAATATTGTTTTTCTCAGGTATTTAAACTTCTTATTTATTTTTAATATACCTAATATCATAAATAATATGGAAAATTCCACGAGGAAACTAAGTTCCTGTAGCTGGCTGTATACCATATATCACAAAAATTTTTTTGTTAAAATCCTTTATAAAAGGTATATAAAAATGCCTCAAACGGGCTATTACAACACAAACACATTGCAAAACGTTTTCGGATTAAACAATCCATCATCAGTGCAAACGGTTGTACATGCTAGTAGCCACCAAAATATATGGGTAAAAACCCTTTAAATATTATAAATTTGAAATTGTTTTACATTATTAGTATTTCTAATTTGTGATGGTTGAGTTACCGTTGGATAGGTAACATGGCGGCGTATGACTCTACATGAGTAAAATGGTCCTGAGACGAAGTGTCTACGAGGACCTGTTGATAACAACTCAACAGGTCCTCGTAGACACTTCGTCTCAGGACCATTTTACTCATGTAGAGTCATACGCCGCCATGTTACCTATCCAACGGTAACTCAACCATCACAAATTAGAAATACTAATAATGTAAAACAATTTCAAATTTATAACATTTAAAGGGTTTTTACCCATATATTTTGGTGGCTACTAGCATGTACAACCGTTTGCACTGATGATGGATTGTTTAATCCGAAAACGTTTTGCAATGTGTTTGTGATAGCCTGTTTGAGGCATTTTTATATACCTTTTATAAAGGATTTTAACAAAAATTTTTTTAATATAGAAAATATTTTTACCAAACTCAGACATTTTTCTCTACGACACTTTCGTATATGTAATTCCAAAAATTTAACAGATCAAAGTTACACGTGAATCTATTTCATCAACAAAGTTATAGGTTAGGATTCCGCGTGTCAGTGGCAACTAGTTATTGAGTCCATAAAATTGTGACACTTTTTGATACTTAGCAACTTCTTGCACTGAAAATATGCTTGATTAAAATTTTAAGATATGGGATTTGCACTGAACCTTTCAATTACTAAAATGTAGTCTGTAACGCATCGGGATTCTAGAACATATATGATGTTCTACTAAAATGCTTTTGTTTTGTCATACCAAACATATTCTATGCAGATTTATTTTCAAATTATGAATGAATATGAAAAATGCAAAATAAACTTTGTTTTTGACTTTTTAAGATTGTTAAAAAAAAAACAAAACAAAATCCGCTGTACGTCTTCACTGATTTTTCATCAACTACCCCTCATATATCTTTTGGAAACTTCAAATATCTGTATAAGATTTTTTCAGCCTGTTATAAGATTGTTATAAGATTTTATAAGATTTTACCGAATGAAAGACTAACAACTTGTAAATATTGCCTGAGACAGGTTATCAAATAAAAGAAACCAATGTGAACGGAAGCAAGGATGGTAGGATAGCCTCGAGTTGAAATATTAAAAAAAGAGAAAATCAGTAATTTTTAAACAATGTATAAAATAAAACCTGTTTACTATTAAACACAAAAGAAGTGACTAAATAAAATTACACTTTTCTTTTCTACTTCCAGGATTTTTCCTCATATTCTTTGCCACAGTATCGTTCGCCTGGTTAAATGTTATGTGCTGTGACATCTGGCTCACATTTGGGTGAGTACAAACACCGGCATTATACAAATATTAATGTAATATTTTTATCTAATTATAAATATGTCGCTCTCCTAAATTTTTTATAACATGATATCTTTATTATGTGCTTATAATTGCAAAAAATATGTATATTATATTATTTAACTTTATCCTTATGGCTTACTGTAAACATTTTTTTTATTTTAGTTATAAATGTTTATTAAATAGGTATTTCAAGAGCTATTATGGCTTATTTTTTTGTAAACGAGTATTGAATTGTAGATAAAGGTATTTAGACAAGGGGCAAAACTCGGGTTCGTTCAAAAAATATTCCCATGAGATTTTTTTGTACAATAGTAGATGACACCGTTGATCTTCTTCATAATGAGGTATGGGCCTTCCCAAAACTGCTGCAGCTTGGGAGAACAAACTTTTCGCTTCTTGGGATTTTAAAGCCAGACTTTGTCGTTCTTCTTAAAGCAGCCCTTCATTCGGTCACTAGCGATCTGAAGATGGGAACGGACCAACTCGTGTACATTATCCATTCTTCTTTGTAATTCGATCACATAATCTTCACCTGCTACATCTTCTCCAGGTCGACACCCAAACTCTAGATAAGATGGTAATCGCATCTCGCGTCCAAATAGGACTCTGGCTGGTGTCTGGCCTGTTGATTCGTTAACAGCAGATCTGTAGAACATTGTGAAGAACAGAAGATATTGGTCAGAATCTCGCTGATGATCGGACACCATCTTTGTCAAATACTTGCCAACTGTCTTATTCATCCGTTCTGCCATACCACCCGATTGCGGTTGATATGCTGTAGTTTTTGTTTTCTTCATGCCTAGTCTATCACATATTCCTTGGAATAGATCGCTTTTGAAGTTGGGATCGGCTGATATATTCTTTGATCAACTTATCTGCAATGGTGGCGGACTTCTGGTCTGGAAGTGCGTAAATCTCGACCCACTTAGTGAAGTAATCCATTACTACCAACATGTACTTGCCTCCATTTTCACTTTCTGGAAATGGACCAGTAATGTCCAAAGCTATTCCTTCCAACAGGCTTGCAACATTAAATTGTCTCATAGGAGCTCTCCTCTTTCGGTAAGGCCCGTTACTCGTAGCACAAATAGTACATTTCTTACACCAGTCCTTTACGTCGTCGGAACTGTTCATCCAATAAAACTGTTCCCAAACTCGCTGAAGTGTTTTCTTTACAACGAAATGCCCTCCTGATGGACTGTTGTGTAAGTAGGTACTCGTTTGAGCAAGCTATCTTCCTTGATAAATGATACTGAGCATAGGTTCGATATTTCTTGCCAAGGTGGTCGACGGTTTTCCTCTTTCCATTTTCGAATTTTCTGTAGAACTGCATCTCTCTCTTATTCTTCCTTATCTTAGTAGGCGTCCAGTCGTCGTTGACCATCGTTGTTCTTAGCACTGCTGCTTCCTTGCATTCCGTTTTGTTGAAGTGGGAACACTCTGCTGCGCATGGCCTTCTGGAAAAAGAATCAGCGTTTCTGTGGCTAACTCCGGCCCGGTTCTCAATCTTGAAATCTTATTCTTGGAGTCGTTTGATCCATCTGGCTATCTGACACTCTGGATTTTTAAACTGCATCAAACACTTAAGGGCGGCATGGTTGGTTCGGATTAAAAACTTCCTTCCATAGAGGTATTGATAGAAGGGCTCTACTGATTTCACTACTGCTAGAAGTTCTCTTCACGTAACGCAATAATTTCTCTCAGGTTTTGAAAGAACTTTACTAAAATATCCAAGGACTTGTTCCTGTTCTCCTTGAATCTGAGATAGCACTCCTCCAATTCCCACATTACTTGCATCTGTATCTAAGATGAACTCTACTTCTGGCAGTGGATACCCTAAAATTGTGCTTAAATGCTTTTTCCATGTCTCAAAGACATTCTGTCAGTCTGTATCTTAGCGGTAATCTCTTGCTTCCTCTGTAAGTCGCGTTAATAGCTTAGCGATATCTGCAAACTTCTTAATAAACCTCCGGTAGTAGGTACATAGTCCAAGAAAAGTTCTCACTTGATGTTTGTCCGTTGGTTCTGGCCATTGCTTAATGGAATCGGTTTTTCTCTTATCCACGGTCACTCCTTCTTTACTGACTATATGACCCAGATAATTGATTTTACCTTGACATAGCTGGCACTTCTTAGGGTTTAACATCAATTGGGCAACTTTAAATCGATTAAAAACGTTTTCTAAATTCTTCAGATGGTCTTCGAATGTCTCCTCCAAGACGATTATGTCATCAAGATAAACCAGGCATGTTTTCCAAGATAAACCCCTCAACACATTTTCCATAAGCCTCTCAAATGTCTCAGGAGCATTACAGAGTCCAAATGGCATAACGTTGAATGGCCACAATCCAGATCCTGTGGTGAAGACTGTCTTCCTTTATCTACTGGGTCCATTTCTCCAGTATGCTCAGGTACTTTATCAGAATCTAAGGTAAAATTGTCACCACGTATATAATCAGACTCTGAGGTAGCATAAGGTTCTTCCTCGGATTCATTTTCAGAAAGATTTGAGAGGTTTTCAATTTCTTCTTGAAGCTCTTTTTGTGTTAGAAAACGTCTACGTGCCATAGCAATTTTGCAACCAAACAATACGAATGGGATAAATATTATCCGGTATAAACTACTACTAGGACACTAGAGTACCATTTAGAAATTATGGTAAAATCGATGAAAACAATACATATCATTAACCTGTCTATAATCGATTAAAAAAACAGTAGCCACTTTTTCTTTACTAGAAATTGTATTATTTACTGTTGATGTTGTTGATGCACATGTTTAGTTAACATCAATTTATAGGTTTTGGACGTGATATGTAGATGTAGGTTGCATACTACTAGGTAATGAGTAAGGAATGTCTAACAACTATGGTCTAACAATACGAATGCGTTCAAATAACATGGGTTTTGGGACAAACAGATGTCAGCAGAATTTTTGAAATCGGCTGGGACATATATGTCCTCATAGTAACGCAAGGATTAAACGATTTTATATTACATACATAATAGAATAAATTAAAGACAGGAACCGCCTAATTAAAGGCCCTATACTTATTTTTGTCTCCAAATATAAAAAAATGATTGAGATAGGAAGTCGATCTTTTATTAACAATTAGCTAATAAACAAGCTAGAAACAATTAGCTAATAAGTGTTTTAAATATAAACATTTTGTTACATATTCATTTTGCTCCGGTACAATCATTAGAAAAGCAAAAATTTGCGTAAAATCCAGCCTTAACCTTGAAATCTACAACGTAATATTGGATTGTTGAGACAGAAACTGTTTTATATCAACTTTATTCAAACAAAATTCGATAAAAAATGTGTTGCACGCAGTGTGAAATATTACATAAGATTTTCTAGATATTTTTTTAGTTTAAATTTAAACTTCGTTCAGACGTGCCGTGCAGAGTAAATAAATATAATCATGTGCAGTTTTAACAAATGCTAGAGTCAATATTTTTTTAAGCCTCAATGGTTAAGGTGCCAGGGGCTTCCTTGGCATGAATGAGATACCAGAGTTAGACCGCCACCGGAATGGAATCTTACTATAAATATTTTTGGCTTCTTTTTTCTAAAATATTGTTTTTTAACAGGTTAAACGCCACAGAAAAACTATTGTTTTTTCCTGTTGTGTCGAACTTTTTTTTGCTTCTTTTGAGTTTGTAGTTGATCATTTATAACTATTATGGCAATTAAAATTTATTTTAAAGGTCCAGCTGAGTAGATGCTTGTCGTCTCTTGTTTTATTGTATTGCTTAGTTGTGCATCGAGTGAGCTTTGAGCAGCATTACCGTATTATGGGTTCAGAGCGTATAAAAAGAATAATTTTGCTTGCTAAACTTGCCGTACCTTATAACGAAGGTAATAAAATTATAATTTACGTAATGATACATACAAAATATGATTTAGTTTTCTACAAATTTAAAAATAATCCTGTTTATGTAGAAAATGTAGAAGACACAAATAACATTGGTTCAAATTTGAAAGAATAAAGCGATTCAGCTTCCGCAACATCAGAAAATGAAGTTAAGAGGCAGCCAGGTTAGAGCATTTCGCAAGGAATTCACCAACATTTATTTAGCCACTTAACAGGACTTAGCTTCACTTAAATTGCTGGAGTATAATCAGTTGCTTCATGTTAGGAGCTTCGGTGGGTTAGCAGAAACAGAGGCACCAATTTTTTCCAGTCTCTCTGGTTTGCATATACAAACAGGAACAGATAGTTGTTGATGGTCCGGTTATGTCTTTTACCATGCCGTCAGACTAAGGATAAACCGGTTTCGCTCTGGTGTTCTTCCAAACGTCCAATTCGAAGTTGCGCGCCTGATCAGAATAAAGCAGAGTTACAACTCCATGTCGGAAAATGACATTCTTAAGCAGGGCCTCACCAACTGTCATTGCTTCTTGGTTGGGTGGTGCAACTACTTCTGGTCATTTGGAAAAATAGTCCATGACGATCTTCAAATACTTGTTTTCTGGGTCCCTTCTTGGACGCACACAGGCCAAATCGTTTGCACCATTCTATCATATCTTGCCGACAATTAATCCAATAATATATCTCACGGACTCTAGCTTGAGTACTATTGTAGTAGTAGAGAGAACTAATAAAACAAGTCCAAAAATACAAATATTTAGGATCAATAATAATAAACGACAGAAACGACTATACTGATTCAAATCAAATTAAGAAAGCGACAAGCAAGATACGCATTTACCTAAATAAAAATGTTTTGTTTAACAGATATTTGTCTATCGGATTAGGAGTTAGACTTTTGAGGTGTTACTGATTCTCTGTGCTGTATGAAGGGAAGCATGGACGCTAAAGAAACAGATCGCTGGTAGATTGAAGGTGTTCGAAATGTGGGCTTGTAAAATATGCTTAGAATAAGCTGAATGGACAAAGTTACAAACGACGTATTGAAAAAAAATCTAAACACTATCAAAATTAAAAATTACAATATTTGGGCAATGTA